TAAGCCTGATTTCATGGAGCTTATAGTCTAACAAGAAGTAAGATAACTATACAAATAATCTTAATGAAACAACAAAAATAATGTCAGGGGCTAAGCAAGAGCTTAGAAGAGTTTAAAAAAGATATCTAGTAACAACAATAAGGAGAGAACCATAGTGAGGTGAACATTGAAAGATTAGTAATAACTCTGTTGACAAAGATTATAAAAATTTTCACTAAGAAAGAGCAATAAGAATAAGGACACAGAAACCTACAATTGCTGATGTGTCAGGAAAGAGCCAAATAATCCACTTCACTCAAGAACAGGAGGACATAAGTAAAGGAAGAGAGAACTTAAATGCTGGAAAAATATGCCAGGAACTCAACTATCACTGCTAAATATACTACAATACCAAAAGGACTAATTCAATAACCATTTAAAGAATGATTCAACATTATATTGAAAATAGGGTAAGCTTGTATGAAAGCAATAAATACAGAGTTCAACACATAACTCTAATAAATGTTTTCACTAATTTTTGAATAAAAAAATCAATAAGCACTTCATAGTCAAGTGGAAAGACCCATATAATAAACATTCAATAATATAAATGTATTTAAAACATAATAAGAACACAAAGCATGGAGTAATTAAAGATGAATGCATAACAGGGTGTACATTATTGAGAATAACCACAATAGGGGGATTTCTAAGCTAGATTTGAAGAAGGGTGTCAAAATCTAGGATGGTAAAAAAGAGGGAAAGAGGCATTCAGGGAGTAGAACTCTGGGAACTGATGATACAAACAACAATTTGTAGAGAATAAAGTCATTGAAAATATTGATCATAAATAGATATCACCCATCCACCTACCCATTCAATTATTTATACAGTCTGATAACATTTATTGGTGCCTACACATACCAGGATATGTGCCAGGCTCTGAGGAAAAAAAAAATGAGTAAGACATCGTTCCTGACTTCAAGGAACCCTCCTAGTCTATGGGGAAATGCAAACATGTCAGAAGTTCACTGTGGTCTAGTATGACAGATGTGAGCAAGGGTATCTGGAAGCATAGAGCAAGGGTGTCCACCTTAGATTAGCATAGTCAAGGAAAGCTTTCAAAGTGGCAACACTGGGTAGATCATGGGAAACTGGTTTCCCACCCAGTAAATGCAAAAAAGAGAAACAAACACAATCAGGTGGGGGGATAGGAGAGTTGGGGTGGGGGGGAGAAGACGCACATTAGGAAATAAGTGTAGAGTGCTGGATAGTTTATTTCGTTGAGGATGAGCTGGGTACAAAAAGATGAAGCTGGAAAAAATAGTTCCTAAAGTTTGTCATGTTAATGGGATTTTAGACTTTAACCCAGAATCAATAAGGATTTATAGAAGTACTTCAGGAAAACAAAATAGAATGATTAGTTCTACTTTTTAGAAAGGTCGCTGGTCTCACTAAGAAAAACAACTGGATAGGTTGTTACAGAAGAGAGGAAGACGCACCACAAAGTCAGAAAAGAATCTGAATTTGAAATTGAAGAACAGAACTTGAAGCAAAGATGGGAAAGAGAGGACATATAAGAATATTCAGGAGTTAGAATCCAAGGTTCTTGTTGAATTATAATTCAGTTAGAAATGCATGTCTGAATCTCCACAATGTCAAAAGTACTTAGTAGGAGTAGCCCAGTAACTGCTATCTGACCTGCTTAGAAAAATGATGTCACCAGAGTCTAATATATTAATGTGTCTTTCCTTTAAAAGCTAGTAACACATTTCTTGAAACTTAATGCTAAAGTTTCTAGATTACAAATTACTAATCTACAGTACAAAGATTCAGTTTTGTATTGGCCTCATTTTGCAGAATTTACTTACACACATCATCATCTACACTAATAAAAGAGAAACATGGTAATTGGCGTACGACTCTAGTATATAATAAAAGGGTAATATGCAAATCGACCGGATGGCAGAACAATCGGTCGCTATGACACGCACTGACCACCATGGGGCAGACGCACAATGCAGGAGCTGCCCCCTGTTGGATAGTGTGCTCCCACAGGGGAAGCACTGCTCAGCCAGAAGTCCTAATCCGGGCTCATAGCTGGCGAGCGCAGTGGCAGGAGCCTCTCTCGCCTCCTCAGCAGCACTAAGGATGTCCCCCAAGGGCTCTCGTACTGCAAGAGGGTGCAGGTCTGGCTGAGGGACCCCCTTGAGTGCACGAATGTCATGCACCAGGCCTCTAGTTTATTCAATAATGTCACTTCTCTTTTCCTACATATTTCTACCATCTCCTAATCAATGACTAAGTAAGCAAAAGCAGAACTCAACTATGAAAACATTCAATCCATTTGCATAAGAGTCTAACAAATACAGAACTCCCCAACCAGTTTACCCTGACACAACATGTTCTACTGATCCCCTCAGGACCTCAAGCAGGCAGGTCTCTGCACAGCTGAGCTTGGGTCCTGAGCAGGGAGATGGGCCCTGCCATGACTTCAAAAGGTTGAGAAGCAGAGAAAGTAAGCATTAGGCATGACACCTAAAGATTTTATGTCTGCTGCCTGTTTTTATAAGGCCTGAATCCTAAAATTGCCTGTAGAAGTTTTACAATGTCCTTTGAAAAATAGCTTTTTCCCAATTTTAAGTCAATCTTAATTTGTTCTTACTGATAGTTCTTTTGGGGGTAAAAAGTCACAATACTCCTTAAGCTAAAAGCTGCTTTACAAAAATCATAATCTGTTTGGCTGGTTTTTGGAACTAACCCCTCAATGGTTCAGTCTGGGGCAAAAATGCTGCTTTAAGTTCAAAGGTGCTAGTTAGGGCAATTAAAAGAATTCTCACGTGACCTCAATGGAAAGCTGGATAAATGATAAATGACAGGAATGCTTCCATGCAAGAACTAAGTTATGTGAAATGCAAACTAGTATCAGAGCATAAGGAAGATAAACGAATTCAACCTTTTGAAAGGCTATATCATTCATTCATTTGTTCACTCGCGTTCAATAAAATATTGTGGAACGACAAGCTGAAAACCCACAGAGAATATAAAGATGGTTTCTCCAATGATCTATTAAAAGAATCATTAATTTTGATGACTACAGAACTATATCAGAATTCCAGAAGGAGTTTTAACTTTGGCTCTCATCCCAAAAGTAAAAATGTTAAAGAAAAACTAAGCAGCTTCTTAAATAAGTGAAGACAGGAGATGTAAGTGCAAGGATTTGGGAGGTAGAGAGAGTATTTAATCGGTATTTCAAGAATCCCATTTAATTTAGTAGCACTTTCACTCATGTAGCAGTTGAACAGAAACTTCAGCTCCTTGATGTCTATGGCTATAAATAAAGGGAAATAAAGATGTCTCAAATGCATAATGCTCTGTGGCTTAAGGTGCCAACAAAACAAACTCCTCTCTTGAAAAATGTGTGAGCAATCTTTCCAGTTTTTACTGACCTTTTGACAAGTAATTTCATGACTCACTAAATTTTTCAGTTTTCAAAAAGAAATACCACAATTTGTCCTGTAGATTTTCTTAAAATGTTAAGATGAGAATTATTTTGAAGGTAACCAACAATTTGCATTAGGCTCAGTGTTGACATTTGAACTGTGACTTCCAGAAATCTTCTCAGTGTTGACATTTGAACTGTGACTTCCATAAATTTTCTCTTTTACTCAGAACTCCTCAACACCTCTCTCCTTTCTACTATTCACAAATATGTAATTAATACACTCTTGACTATTATTCTCATTTCTTTTTTAATTCCTCATTTGTGACTGGACATCAGAGCATTGCCAATAGCTAGATTTCTGGACTACAGAATGTCCCTAGTAATGACAATAGTGGCATTTCCTCCTTTAGTGCCAAAAATAATGCAAAACATATTGTATTTAAGAAGTGGGAAAAAGACTTTCACAATCTCAAAGTCCAAAAATTATGTATGTAATAAAATGTGCTTTGCTTTTGTAAGTATATTCTAATCATGGTGGTAACTATAGATAAACATAGCACTTCCTAAAGAAAAAAACAAAGACAATATTACAGTTAATTCACCAGCATCAGAGAACTAAGACTACCAAAAGCATATACCAACATTTTATATGTCTCATTTCGCAGTTAATGTATAAACATAGGCCTTTAACTATCGGATGAAAACAATAATCCATGTGTAAGCAATCTCTTCCTCCTGAATACTCAGCTGGGGTTCTGCCTACATTCAAGGACATTTTGATGTGCACTCTCATCAAAGGGACCCTTCAAAGGTTACAGAAGAAAACATTTGCCTCCTGATGTTCAGGTATTGATCAACCTACTGGGAATTCCCAACAAATTCTTTTTAAATTTTGTAAGTTTTAAGTTATGCTGGCTTCAAACATTTAACTCCTATTATTTACCACACTCACCTGAGTCTGAGCAGGAAGTACCTAAAGGAAAACATCTTTATCTTACTTATATTCCTTGTTTACTACACATATGTCCTTTCTGTGCAATGATACAAAGAAAGCTTGAATCAAGGTTCTAAGGCCTCCTCACACCTGGATTTCAGGCCTTAACCAAGCTTAACCACCACCTCCTTTAGGAAGCAGTCCCTGACTCCTGAAATTCTGAAGCAACTGCTCCGCGCTAAACTGTCAGAACAACTAATAACACCATCTTCATAGTTATCTCTTTTTTGTCTCTTATTCTGTACATATGTCCTGTGTGTTTACTAAATTATAAAAAGTTATGAGCATCTCATGTACAGAAACTGTTTTACATACGCCTACTTCTTAGAGCAAACTAACTCAATGAATGATCATGAAATAAATGCTGTATAACTGATATTTACTCGGTAATAAAATAAAACTATTCAGTTATTGAGGTATACTTGTGGTCACTGAACAGAAAAATTAGTACTCAAAATACTTATCAAAAACACTCAAGTAAATTTTCAAACTACTAACTAAAATCTATACCATATGGAAACAGAGGAAGGACTAAGTCATTCTTCAAAGATGGAGCCAAACTAGAAAATGATTTTTACTTACTTGTCTCCAAAAAACTTTCTCCAGAATTCAGCAGCATCTGCTTTCGTGATACGAAAATTATCTCCTTGGAATTGCCCATTGGGAAAGATTGCTTTGATTTCTGCCAGCATGTGACTGAAGATAAGGGACAGTTTTGTGAGATTTCGCCTGTAGACACAAGGGGGTAAAAAAAAAGAAAAATAAATAAATATATATGTTTAAATAGTACCATATATTATGAAAAATAAAATTACATACAGTATCCACCTAGGTGTTGGTGGTTGATCATGAAACTCTATTTAATAATGACCTTAAAAAATAATGAGCATAAAAAGTTGTACATTTCAATTCCTAACAGGCTTTTCACTTACTAATCCATATAGTCATTTAACATAAACAAGAACAAAATAAATTACATGAATTTAATGGAAGAGATGGACACCGAAAAAAGTAATCAAATATTAATGCTAAATACAGAGTGGCTATTTCAACATGGGAGAGTAAGGAAAGACATGTCATTAGAGGAGAATCTAGAAAGATAAGCATTTGTTTGACAGATTTGGGACTTAGAATGGAGAAAACAGGAGAGTAGGAACAACATGTACAAAAGCACAGAGATGTGGAATAAAACTGTTTATAAAATACCTATGTTTAGCATGGCTAGAGAAGAACAGAAGATGAGTGGAGGAAATGGCATGAGACAGGATGAGAATATTTGGTTGGAACATGACACAGAGGCATCTGAAATAATGAAAAAGTTTTTTGTCAAATACACTTTCCACTCCTATGAAAAAGTCAGAGTTTTTGATGATGGGTTCCAAATATGTGCATATTTTAGAAGCTCCTTGAGCAATTCTCATGTACTACTCCCCTTGTTAAGAGCTCCTGCTATAAAAAATGGGGTGCCTGCCCTGGACAGTTTGCTCAATCGACAGAGTATAGGCCTGCAGACTAAAGGGTCCCGGGTACAATTCCAGGCAAGGGCACGAACTTTGGTTGCAGGCTTCTCCCTGGCACGGGCCCTGGTTGGGGCTCGTGCAGGCGGCAACCAATCGATGTCTTTCTCTCACATTGATATTTCTCTCTGTCTTTCTCCCTCTTCCACTCTCGCTAAAAATCAATGGAAAAATATCCTTGGGCGAGGATTAAAAAATGCACACAAGAAATGGGGAGCCAAAATGAATTAAAATGGTTTGGAATCAAGGGAAATGGAGATACTGTCTCTATTCTAATGCCCAGGTTAAGTTCTGGAGATTTTGACATGATTTAAGACAATACAAAGTATGACTCATATTTCAAAATAGTAGTATCATCTGCACTCCTTCCTACCATTTCATAAGCTTAAACCTTAATAATGTTAATCATTTTTTAATCCTCAGCCAAGGATATGTGTGTTGTTGTTTTTTTAATTGATTTTAGAGGGGGGGGAGGGGAGAGAGAGAGAGAGAGAGAGAGAGAGAGAGAGAGAGAGATGAGAGAGAAACACATCTCTGTTTAAAGCCTCCGGTATGCACCCAAACAGAGATCAAACCCACAACCTGGGTGTGTGCTTTGACCGGGAGTCAAACCTGCAACCTTTTGGTGCACAGGACGACAATCCATCCAGCCAGAGTGTATGTAAATCATAATTTTTTAAGTGACCTTGTTTCTTTATATTCCTGTTTATGCATTCAATATATACATATACAACAATTCCATTTTGAAGCTTTAGATGCATTTGTGTGCCTGTTGAGGGGTCTGAAGGGTAGGAGTTGGGGGTACAATAATTATTTCAGGACTAAAAGTAAATACAGAGGAAAATTAACAGAGTAAGCTATCAAATGTGGAATGTATATAAAATCCTACAATCTTTCAACAAAACCTTGACACTGAAAGTTTTGGTTCTTTTTTCTCTTTTTTACTTATGTGTCTGTATTTAATGACTCTCAAATAACAAGCAAAAATAAACATGTTAGGTACCAACGAGATCATATAATATACACCTGTCAATAAAGTCAATGGGTATGACTCTTTCTAAATGGTTTATTACAAAAGAAATATGTAACTTTTTATGTGATATGAATACAGAATAAATGAAAGTACTTGTGATAAAAAGTGGAAAAAGAATGAAAAGCAAGCAGTCAAGTATAAAGTAATCTACATCTCAATAAATTCATCTCTACTGGAAAACCAAAATGTCCCAATTTCCATAACCTTTATTAGCTATGAGAAAATTCATGTAAAAGAAGGGTCAGGACTTAGACCTTATTTTAGTGCTTTACTAGCAACAATAAACAATCTGCAAAATCATTATCATTATGCATAATGTTTCATCATTTGCTTAGATTCAGCCACATTTCCGTACAACTCTGACTAATTCAAATGTGAAACTTCTTCAATTAGTTGAATCTTTGATCTTCTCATTTATGTCAACAAACCCTCATTTAGATGACTGTAGATATAAGAAATTCAGTCTTAGAAAATGAAAAGCAAACTGCTGAACTATATCAAAGGAAAGCACTGTGGCCAACACAAACTGCAACTGACTTTTGAAATCTGAGTTTAGGGAAATGCATAAAGTCACTTCAGAAAATCTGCACCAAATTTATTTCTATAATTAGGCAAAGGGTTAATTTTCTACTGAAACTCCAACTGATACATACAGAAGAAAAAAGAAAAATCAAGATGGCTATAATTAGGGCAAACCAACTGTTTCATATTTTCTGAATTGGTTGTTCTCCATCCCCTTGTTTCTTTGTTCTTTAATCATATCCAAATGTTTTCCATTTATATTTGTTAAGATCTAAAGTCTGAAGCACAATGCCAATGATTACCCATTTTCGATATTTGACCCACTGGCTATGTAGACACTAAACTTTAAAACAGAAATAGTAACATTGTCTCTTTATAATTTACAGCCCTGAAGCTCTAATAATCACTAGTACCTATATATCTAACCACTGTTTAATTATAAAATGTGTGTAGTTTAATTTTCTTGTTCTGGCAAATGAGTTATCAAATCTTTATTTGACTTTTTGCATTCTAAGGCAATGAAAGTGAGTTTTGCCTTAGTCTTTAAAAACAACTTAAATTCAAGTTGTTAAACATACTGTATGTTAATGCAAGAGTTTCATGTTACCTTATTTTCCACATATAACAGACTATATTTATTTTATTTATTTTTTAAATCTTTATTGTTGAAAGTATTACATATGTCCCCTCCCCCACCCATTGATCCCTTCTAACCCACATAAACCCCTGCCCCAGGCCTTCAGCACCCAATTGTCTGTGTCCACAGAATGAATATATAGATAGATAGATAGATAGATAGATAGATAGATAGATAGATAGAGAGACATACAAGTTGGTGGATCTGCATATGTTCCTTAGCAATTCCTCTCCTACTCAATTCCCCACCCCCACCCCACACATCCTCTTTCATGTCTCTGAACCTATTTTGTTCATCAGTTTATTTTGTTCCTTATATTCCATACATGAGTGAGATCATGAGATACTTGTGTTTCTCTGCCTAATTTATTTCGTTTTGCTGCTAAACTTTAGCATAATACTCTCCAGGTCCCTCCATGCAAATTTTCAAATACACATACATACCATAAATGTGTAAGTGATTATTTTGGAAATTCATTGTTGAAAAGACTGATTTACAGAGCTTGCAATCAACATCAAGATATGAAAAAAAAAAAGACACACACAGATAATTCTACTATCTGATGTCATTTAAATTTATTACCAGGGCAAATAGGTTTTGTTTTTCATATAATTGTGTGGGTTTCTGTTTTGTTTGTTTACTATATTTTCTAGACATTATGTGTTTTAATTCCCTAGCCTTCTCTGAACATTGAAAGAGCTTTAAAAAAATAACTTCCTAAATAACTTCCTAATTCAAAAGTAAATGCCAAGAATACAGTCATCTCTAACCATGATTACAGTGGAAAGAGGGCAACAACTATACATCTTCTTTGTAGCTGAAATGTTTTTTCCTATTATAAAACTTTCCCATATTTGTCCAATTCTCCCTAAGCTCATTTGATTACATCTCATCATAAGACCAACAATAATGACTGCTTAATAAAGATTTGATGCTTACTAATTAAGAAGGTTTCCATCACTAAAACTCCCTACCCCAAAACAATGAAAATATAAAATTATGTCTACAAAGACTCAATAATCTTATAATTATAAATGTAATTAATTTTACAAGAAATTTTGCAATACTCGTTCACTTTTAGTGTAAGAGTTACTTTATTTTGACTAATTACTAACACATTTCCCATTAACCATCACAAGCCCTTTTTTAAAATTTTGTTTTGTGTGAGATTTTGTTATTAAGAAATAATTATGAAATAAAAGTATTTTGATATACCAGGTAGTCCAAAGTAGCTTCTGGATTTCAATACTGGGTAAATCAGTAAAGATGTTAATATTAGAGGAGCCATGAAGAAAAGTAAGGGAGGAAAAGAGAAGAAAAACAGAGATGGGGAAGAGAAGAAGGAAAGCTAGCTACATTAAAAAAAATACACACACACACACACACACACACACACAATGTATAAGCAATGTCAAGAATATCATCTAAGGAGCAAAGTACCTCTTTAATCCTACACTCAATCACTTAACACTGTATTTCTTTAAAATGGTATAAATTAATTTCTCCAAAAGTCAAGTTATATTACTGCACAGAATGCAAGGCTGAGCCAGAGTGAATTAACACAATTGAAATGATGATGCTGCACTATTCATGAATAAGCACTGAAGCTTACCGTGGCTACAGCCAACATCATTCGGAGACTCAGGGTGCACAAGTTTTGATGAAGAATGATACAATCCCACCCTTAATAAAGGTATAACATATTGTGCAGCAAAAAGGCATAAGTAGATGATTATTATACAACTAGAGGCCTGGTGAATGAAATTCTGCATGGGGGGGTCCCCTCAGCCCAGCCTGCACCCTCTCCAATCCGGGACCCCTTGCGGGATGTCCTAAACCGGCAGTCGGACATCCCTCTCACAATCCGGGACCTTCCAGTTTAGGCCTGATCCATGGATCGGGCCTAAACCGGCAGTCGGATATCCCTCTCACAATCTGGGACTGCTGGCTCCTAACTGCTCACCTGTCTGCCTGCCTGATCACCCCCAACTGCTCCCCCGCTAGCCTGGTTGCCCCCAAC